CATTAGTCACTGCTTGCAAGGCTTGTTATGATGTGCATTACTGAGAGGGCCCAGAGATACCTCTCCGATACTCGGAGTGACAAATCCTAATGTCGATCTATGCCAACCCAACAAACACCTTTGGAGATACCTGTTGAGCATATTTATAATCACCTAGTTACGTTGTGATGTTTGATAGCACACATGGTATTCCTCTGGTATCCGGGAGTTGCATAATCTCATAGTCAAAGGAATATGTATAAGTCGTGAAGAAAGCAATAGCAATAAAACTTAAAGATCATTATGCTAAGCTAATAGATGGGTCTTGTCCATCACATCATTCTCCTAATGATGTGATCCCGTTCATCAAATGACAACGCATGTCTATGGCTACGAAACTTAACCATCTTTGATTAATGAGCTAGTCTAGTAGAGGCTTACTAGGGACACCGTGTTTTTTCTATGTATCCACACATGTATCAAGTTTCTGGTTAATACAATTCTAGCGTGAATAATATGTTGGGGAACGTAGCAGAAATTTAAAATTTTCTACGCATCACCAAGATCAATCTATGGAGTCATCTAGCAACGAGGGAGAGGGGAGTGCATCTACATACCCTTGTAGATCGCGAGCGGAAGCGTTCAAGAGAACGGGGTTGATGGAGTCGTACTCGTTGTGATCCAAATAACCGATGACCAAGCGCCGAACGGACGGCACCTCCGCGTTCAACACACGTACGGTTGGGAAGACGTCTCCTCCTTCTTGATCCAGCAAGGGGAAGGAGAGGTTGATAGAGATCCAGTAGCACGACGGCGTGGTGGTGGAAGCAGCGGTGATCTCGGCAGGGCTTCGCCAAGCTCCAACGAGAGAGAGAGAGAGAGAGAGAGAGAGAGAGAGGTGTTACGAGGGGAGAGGGAGGCGCCAAGGGCATGGTGTGTGGCTGCCCTCCATCCCCCTCACTATATATAGGGCCCCTAGGGGGGCGCCGGCCCTAGGAGATCCAATCTCCAAGGGGGGGCGGCGGCCAAGGGGGACTTGCCCCCCAAGTTAGGTGGGGCGCCCCCACCCCTAGGGTTTCCAACCCTAGGCGCAGGGGAGGCCCATGGGGGGCGCACCAGCCCACCAGGGGATGGTTCCCCTCCCACTTCAGCCCATGGGGCCCTCCGGGATAGGTGGCCCCACCCGGTGGACCCCCGGGACCCTTCCGGTGGTCCCGGTACAATACTGATTACCCCCGAAACTTTCCCGATGGCCGAAACTGGACTTCCTATATAAAAATCTTTACCTCCGGACCATTCCGGAACTCCTCGTGACGTCCGGGATTTCATCCGGGACTCCGAACAACTTTCGGGTTACCGCATACTAATATCTCTACAACCCTAGCGTCACCGAACCTTAAGTGTGTAGACCCTACGTGTTCGGGAGACACGCAGACATGACCGAGACGACTCTCCGGTCAATAACCAACAGCGGGATCTGGATACCCATGTTGGCTCCCACATTCTCCTCGATGATCTCATCGGATGAACCACGATGTCGAGGATTCAAGTAATCCCGTATACAATTCCCTTTGTCAATCGGTACGTTACTTGCCCGAGATTCGATCGTTGGTATCCCAATACCTCATTCAATCTCGTTACCGGCAAGTCACTTTACTCGTACCGTAATGCATGATCCCGTGACCAAACACTTGGTCACATTGAGCTCATTATGATGATGCATTACTGAGTGGGCCCAGAGATACCTCTCCGTAATACGGAGTGACAAATCCCAGTCTCGATCCATGTCAACCCAACATATACTTTCAGGGATACCTGTAGTATACCTTTATAGTCACCCAGTTACGTTATGACGTTTGGTACACCCAAAGAACTCCTACAACATCCGGGAGTTACACGATCTCATGGTCTAAGGAAATGATACTTGACATTGAAAAGCTCTAGCAAACGAACTACACGATCTTGTGCTATGCTTAGGATTGGGTCTTGTCCATCACATCATTCTCCTAATGATGTGATCCCATTATCAATGACATCCAATGTCCATAGTCAGGAAACCATGACTATCTGTTGATCAACGAGCTAGTTAATCTAGAGGCTCACTAGGGACATGTTATGGTCTATGTATTCACACATGTATTATGATTTCCGGATAACACAATTATAGCATGAATAATAGACAATTATCATGAACAAGGAAATATAATAATAATCACAAATCCTGACCCAACAGACATCACAAATCTATGTCAACAATTTAATCAAAAGCAATTGAAGGGAAGCAAAAAAGGAATAACCCTTTAAGCCGAGAGAAGAATAATGAAAAAGATGACATAGACCCAGCACATGCACCATGCTCGCAGCCTTCGTTCGAAGCGAGCAACAACAAAGAAGCCAATGTGAAAGAGGAAGAAACGACTAGCAATGACCCCGACGGTCCGATGAAACAGCAATATCCTAATCCAGAAGCGAAGAACGCCACTAACCCCTCTTGCGCAATAGACCACTGCCGCCGACCCTCTTGCCAAAAACAGAAGAAGAAACCAAATGGAGACAAGCCTGACAAGAAAAAGGGGACACACACTTACACAACCCCATATCACCCAGGAGCCTCCATTTCAAAGGAGCTTAGAGTTTTCGGAGATGTATTCGAGAAACTATATGAATGAAGAGGGGTGCCAACTTCTCAAATAAATAAATAAACAAACAAACCCTTTATCATCACTCTTCTACCCCATTCCCCATAAATACCCGACCCAATTTCTCAGGTAACCCGACTCGAGTCGAGGGAACTCCTGTGCTTAAGGCGTCGACTACCCACTGCAACGCTCGAGCTCGCACTCATATGGGACAACCCAATTACAGCTCACTCAGTAGTTGTGGTCACGCACCTGTTATGCTCGCTTCTTATTTTTTGTTCCGCAAAGAAAAAGCAATTGATGGTTTTAAAAAGAACGGACTACCAGTTTTTTGAAGCGAGCAACACCAAAGAAGCCAATGTGAAAGAGGGAGAAATGACTAGCAATGACCTCGACTGTCCGATGAAACAACAATATCCTAATCCAGAAGCGAAGAACACCAATAACCCCTCTTGCGCATTAGACCACTACCGCCGACCCTCTTGCCTAAATCGGAAGAAGAAACCAAATAGAGATAGGCCCGACAAGAAAAAGGGGACACACACAAACACGTGGACAAAAACACGCACCCAGTTGCCACAAATGTATGCGAAGGGACCGAGTGTAGAAATCACGGCTCCACACACACATGTGTGGCCCACCCCACGACCCACAACCCCATATCACCTAGGAGCCTCCCTTTCAAGGGAGCTTAGAGTTTTAGAAGATGTATTTGAGAAACTATATGAATGAAGAGGGGTGCCAACTTCTCAAATAAATAAATAAATAAATCATTATCCTCACTCTTCTACCCCGTTCCCCATAAATACCCGACCCAATTTCTCAGGTAACCCGACTCGAGTCGAGGGAACTCCTGTGCTTAAGACGTGGACTACCCACTGCAGCGCTCGAGCTCGCACTCATATGGGACAACCCAATTACCGCTCACTCAGTAGTTGTGGTCACGCACGTGTTATGCTCGCCTGTTATTTTTTGTTCCACAAAAAACAAGCAATTGATGGTTTAAAAAGAACGGACTACCAGTTTTTTTTGAAGCGAGCAACACCAAAGAAGCCGATGTAAAAGAGGAAGAAATGAGTAGCAATGACCCCGACTGTCCGATGAAACAACAATATCCTAATCGAGAAGCGAAGAACACCACTAACCCCTCTTGCGCATTAGACCACTACCGCCGACCCTCTTGCCCAAATCAGAAGAAGAAACCAAATAGAGATAGGCCCGACAAGAGGACAAAAACAGGCACCCAGTTGCCACAAATGTATGCGAAGGGACCGAGTGTAGAAATCACGGCTCCACACACACATGTGTGGCCCACCCCACGACCCACAACCCCATATCACCCAGGAGCCTCCCTTTCAAGGGAGCTTAGAGTTTTAGAAGATGTATTTGAGAAACTATATGAATGAAGAGGGGTGCCAACTTCTCAAATAAATAAATAAATAAATCCATTATCCTCACTCTTCTACCCCCGTTCCCCATAAATACCCAACCCAATTTCTTAGGTAAGCTGACTCGAGTCGAGGGAACTTCTGTGCTTAAGGCGTCGACTACCCACTGCAGCGCTCGAGTTCGCACTCATATGAGTCAGCCCAATTACCGCTCGCTCAGTAGTTGCGGTCGCGCATGTGTTATGCTCGCCTATTATTTTTTGTTCCACAAAAAACAAGCAATTGATGGTTTAAAAAGAACGGACTACCGGTTTTTTGATAGAGTTTAAAATTTTTATGAGACAGAAAAATGTTCACATTTTCTTTAGGAAATCGCATATTTGAAAAAAAAGAATATGAAAACAATTCATGAACTTTAAAAAAGGTCTTAAAGTTCTTCAATTTGAAAAAAGTTTCTCAAAATTTAAAAGTTCATGAATTTACCAAAAAAATCACAAAGTTTAAAATTTTCATGGATTTGATTTTTTTTCAATAACTTGAAAAGGTTCACACATTTTAAAATTGTTCATGATTTTCAAAAAAATGATCACAAACTAAAAAACGTTCCTAAATTAAAAAATAATGACTTTGAAAAAGAAATCGTGGATTTAAAATAATAGAAAAGACAAACAAAGAAAAACACAAAAAACTGAAATATAAAACCAGGAAAAAAAACCAGCTGGAGGCTTCTTGAAGCTTCACAGAAACCGGCCAGAAGGTTCACAAAACCGGATGGTGTAAGCTTTCGGAAACAGAAAACGCAGCATGGGCCAGCCCATTTCGTACGTAGATTCGTTCGCTGGGAGGGTGTGCGCGATGTGCAAAAAAGCATATAGATGGCGCCCAAACAGGAATTAGCTCGAGTGGTATCCAGTTCAAATTCAAACCCAAGGTTCTAGAACCCACCCGACCCAACCCACCATTCCGAGGCCAGACCAGAGCGGCACCGCCCACCATGGCCAAGCCTCACGCCGGCTTCAACACCCCGCGCCCCTCCTCCGCCCGCTCCGCCGCTCGCACCACCGCGGGTTCCTCGTCGACGGACACGACTCCCCTCGCCCCCACCTCCATCCCCCGCGCCGACCTCTCCTCCTCCGGCGCCAAGGCCGGTGTCACCTCCGCCATCCGCACCCCCTCGGGCTCCTCGTCATCCACAGATCTCTCCGGGCCCTTCACCCGCAGCTCCGTGGGTTCCTCGTCATCCACGGATCTCTCCGCGAGCACCACCCGCGACATCGCCTCCATCGTCAAGGTAACCGCGCATACCTCCCGTTAATTGCCTGCGAGAGTCTCGCAGCCTAACCGATGACCTTCTCCGGCCTCTTGGTGACCAACAGGAGGTGGGCAAGCGCCTGGACTACGAGGACGACTCCCCCTTCCCCACCGCCGCCTCCTTGCATCAGCCGATGCTCGCGCCCGAGGGCCTTGCCGACCTCGCGCCCCTGCTCGAGCTTCCCGACCCCGACAACGCCTCCCCCACCACCGTCGTCTCCGCCTCTGACGCTGACGCGAAACACGCGATGACCGCTTCCGTCGACTCCACTGTCACCCAGGTGAGGCTCCCGACTGATTCCGATCTGTGCTGCTCCTCGAGTTCCGATTGCTGGTTAAAATTTTGGAGTCCGCGCCGCGGTTATGGATTCGCGTTGTTTTATTTGAGCGCTCTGTGGACCAAGTTCGAGTTGCCTCGATGGAAATTGAGAGCCATTCTGCAGGGCCTGTGTCGAGGTTGCTTCGGCATGCTCCGGTGGTGACGAAATTTGGGACGAGGGTCCGTGTCGAGGTTTTTTCCCGTCCGAATCATGATTCCTGTTGCCGATCAATTAGAATTTGTGCAGGCTCTCAATCGAGTTCCGTTTGCCGCTTTGAATTTGCAGTGTAACTTGTTGTGGGGATTCTTAAACTACACGGCTACTGTCTATCCATTCCGTGAACCTGCAAGTTCCTGACACACTGAAGAAATGTCGGTGTTCTTTTCCATGCAGGTTGCAGCGCCTGCCGACTTCACCGCCGATGGCCCCCTGCTCACGGAGATGGATGGCGTCCTCGCCGAGCTGAGCGGCGCCCGCGGCCTCAGCCCGCGCTCAAAGCGCCTCCTCCTCGCGCTCGTTGAGGTCGCCGACGCGGAGCTCAATGCCAACCCCACGGCCGCTGTCCTCCACATTCGCCGCGCTGCCTTCTGGAGGAAAGTGCGGGTTGGGATCCTCGCCGCGACGGTCTTTTCCGTCGCCGCGATCGACGCCGCGCTGGCCTTCGCGCTCTACGGAGCCCGCCATGGCAACGACCGGTACCACCACGTGCTGCCCCCTACCTGATGCGTGCACACGAGCCAGCGATCGAGCCGGTGCCGGTGGATTTGCTTCGCTTCTGCAAGTGTTGGCCGCTTCCGATATTTACCAGTACTTATGATTAGCCTTGTCGCTCTAGTAGACACATCGTGATGTTTTAATTACTGGTGTTTTTACATGCATATATAGAAGTAGAACAGAAGAGAAGGGCATTGTTGTTTTAATTAGCGTGACTGAGTTCTGCTTCAGTAACAGTGTGTGCAAAAATCGGTATTATGCTTGCCAGTGCTAGATGCAAATTGTAAGATCAGAACCTCTTGAGAAAGTCCAAGTGCCATACATATTTGGCTCTTTTTTGTGTGCACTGTTCTGGTAATTCTTGAGCAAGGTTTTTGTGGTATGCTCGAGCACTTATGAGTCTTGAATGCAGGTGTTGATACTTGGACGACTTAGCAGTACCAAGAACAGCAATTTGTTTTAGAACGAAGCACGGCAATTTGTTCAGGATGTAGATATACTACAGTAGAAAGTAGAAACCACACTTGTCCAAATTTGCACAGGTCCTCAGTGGACTCCATAGATGATATACATCAGCAAGACAATAAGTCGCACTAGTTCAAGATCAAATGTGCAAAATATAACAGCTGTCCAAATATATGTGGAGTGGATGTTTCATGAGTCTGTTTCGAATCAGGTGAAAAGTGGCATGAAGTTTATGGCCCTTTGTTGAACTATACTTGCACTCGGATACCTGGTCATGTGAAGTTACACACCAATACACCTGAACTGACACGGATATGACAATCTTGCACACAAGACAAAAGTTGAGTTAATTGAAGTGATTTCTCAGGTGGACTCACATTGCCATTTTATTATCATCTTGGCCACCATATAGCCATATAGGATGAGTCCAATCTCCATCAACTGTCACCAAAACTATCTCAAACAACTTCACGGGTTTTCATCATTCCTCTGTTGGAATGTTATATTTTAGATAAAGACTGTGAAGATTGCTCGAAGCGTCTTACCTCGTTAGAGGCGACGGGTGCGTGTTTATATAGCAGGGGCCAGCCCTGGATATGCATACATCGGTTGAGTACAACTTGGAGAACAAGAGAGGAGGAGATAAGGCGCAGGTAGTTGTGCTACGGGATTACAACAAGTTAAACCGTACAACTATCCTAACAGACTAGCTAACCTCCTAGAGATATAACCAAGTTATGCATATGCAAAACATCCGGTGTTTAACATCCTCCCTTAATCACAACTTTGTCAAGTTGAGATTACGTTTAAACTCTTCAAAACTCTTTGTAGGCAATGCCTTGGTGAACCCGTCTGCAACTTGATCTCGAGAATGCACAAACCGAATCTCCAATTTTCTGCTTGCAACTCTCTCTCTGACAAAATGAAAGTCTATCTCAATATGCTTTGTTCTAGCATGAAAAACAGGATTTGCAGACAAGTATGTTGCACCAAGGTTGTCACACCATAAGCATGGAGTTTGAGTGCTTCTGACACCAAGTTCTCTCATCAGTGATTGAACCCAAATAATCTCTGTTGTTGCATTTGCCAACGCCTTGTATTCTGCCTCTGTGCTTGATCTAGAGACTGTAGCCTGTTTCTTTGCACACCATGATATTAAGTTCGGTCCAAAAAATATAGCAAACCCACCAGTGGAACGTCTGTCATCAACACATCCGGCCCAATCAGAATCAGAAAATGCACTGACTAGTGTGGATGATGACTTGGTGAAGTTCAGACCAACATTCATGGTATTTTTCACATATCTCACTATGCGCTTTGCAGCAGTCCAATGAACTGTAGTAGGTGCATGAAGAAACTGACATACCTTGTTAACAGCAAAAGATAAATTAGGTCTAGTGAGAGTTAAGTACCGAAGAGCACCTACTAGACTTCTGTATTTTGTGCCATCCTCTTGACTCAAAAGTTCTCCTTCTGTGAGAGATAATTTTTCTGTGCTGGAGAGAGGAGTTAGTGACGGTTTGCATCCTTGCAATCCAACTCTTCTTACCAGATCAGTTGCATACTTTTCCTGTGAAAGATGAAGCCCATCCTCATGTTTCTTTACTTCAATTCCTAGGAAAAAATGCAAGTCTCCTAAATCCTTGAGAGCAAACTCTGAATTTAAATCCTTCAGCAATGCTGTTATGGCCTCATTGGATGAGCTAGTAACAATTATATCATCAACATAAATAAGCACAAATATAGATGTATTTGACTTATTGTAAATGAACAATGAGGTGTCAGATTTTGAAGGAACGAAACCAAGAGCCTGCAATTTCTGACTGAGACGGGAATACCATGCTCTGGGAGCTTGCTTCAAACCATACAAAGCTTTGTCAAGTCTGCATACATGAAATGGTGCATTCTTGTCCTCAAAACCAGGAGGTTGTTTCATGTAAACTTCTTCTTCCAGAACGCCATGAAGGAACGCATTATGTACATCCAGCTGACGAAGGCTCCATCCCCTGGAAACAGCAATTGACAAGACAAGGCGAATCGTTGCAGCTTTTACAACCGGACTGAAGGTGTCCTCATAATCTATGCCATAATGTTGTTTAAAGCCTTTAGCAACAAGTCTAGCTTTGTACCTATCTATAGTTCCATCAGATTTTCTCTTGATTCTGAATACCCATTTGCAGTCAATCAAATTTTTACCTTGCTGTGGGGGAACGAGGTGCCACGTCTTATTTCTCTGAAGTGCCATGTACTCTTCATCCATGGCCTTTTTCCACCTTGCATCACCAAGAGCTTCCTCAAGCGTATGCGGTTCTCCTGTAGAACATGCTAGTCCAAACTTGAGTATATGCTTATAATTGACATGTTTAATTACACCTTTTTTAAGACGTGTACAAGGTGGTGAAGCAGCAGCAGAATCAGTTTCCGCAGAAGATCGCGCCTGCTTAGGAGCTGCACCAGCGGGCGATCCCAAGGGAGATTCTCTGGCTGATGTGTCAGCCGGATCCTCTGCGGCCGTGTGCTGAGTTGATGGCGAGGCAGATGGCGCAGAAGATCCCGGCGGCGCATCATGCACCAATGATGACGTGGGGCCATGCAGATCTGCCCCAGAGTCCGCGCCTGGGCCATGCAGGGCCGCACTGGAGTCCGCGCCCGTCTGACGCAGGCGGGGCGTGTAGACGCGCACAGTATCCAAGAACCGCACACGCTCGGGCCCCGTAGCAGGCTGCCGCGTGTCACCCGCAGATTGGTGCGGGCCAGACTCCTCCGACCGGCGGGGCGACAGGCGACGCCGTGACGGGCGATGAGTGGAGACCGCCTGTGGAGGAATCTGCTGGCTCGTCTGTCCATGCGGGTCCCGCACCTGTCTGCTGCGGAACGGATCCCGCGGAGGATTCTCTCGGCTGTTGTGCCACAGATCTCGAGGGAGATTTGCCCCCTGGTTGGAGACACATGAATTGTTGCCCTGTTGAGCGAATTTCTTCAGCATTTTCCATCAAATTTCTTTGCTGCGTGCAGCTGCATCATCACAAAACTCAGGAGCAATATTATGAGGGTTAAGCAACAGTTGATCATCCAAGTTATTTCCCCCTTGATCAAAGCCGGTTAGATTAGAAGGCAAAAGCAGAATCTCTTTCCGAAGAAGAGCACCGGCATTAGGATGTAAATCAGTGAATGGAAATTTTGTTTCATCAAAGACTACATCACGAGATATATAGACACGTCCGGTAGGCACGTCAAGGCAGTTCACACCCTTATGCTGGGCACTATAACCAAGGAAAACACATTGCTTTGATCGAAACATAAGCTTACGTTTGTTATAGGGCCTTAGGTTTGGCCAACATGCGCAGCCAAACACACGGAGAGATGTATAATCAGGTTTAGTGTGAAGGAGACGTTCCATTGGAGTTTCGTTGTTGATGACACGACTTGGTAGCATATTAATGATGTGAACAGCAGCAAGAAAGGCCTCATCCCAAAACTTGAGAGGCATGGAGGCACCGGCTAGAAGAGCCAGGCCGACCTCAACAATGTGTCTATGTTTTCTTTCGGCCAACCCGTTTTGTTGGTGGGCGTGAGGACAGGACACATGGTGAGAGATACCAAGTGTTTGGAAAAACGAATTTAATTTTTCGTATTCCCCTCCCCAATCGGATTGGAGAGCAATGATTTTGGTATCAAATTTTCGTTCAATGAGTGCTTGAAAGTTTTTGAAGACTTGGAACACATCGGATCTTTTCTTAAGAAGATAGATCCAGGAGTATTTACTGAAGTCATCTATGAAACTTACGTAGTATGTATGTCTACCAACAGAACTAGGGGCAGGACCCTAAACATCGGAAAAAATGAGTTGCAATGGCTTGGTAGAAATACTTGTAGAAATAGGATAAGGTAATTGATGACTCTTAGCATGCTGACATGAATCACAAATGGTTTCAACATGACGCTCATCCACATATGGGAGCTTACTTTTCCTAAGCACTCGTTCAACTAAAGAAAAAAATGCATGCCCTAATCGATCGTGCCACCGAGTTGAAGTAAGCTTGGCGACACCATATGCTTGCTTATTGAATCTTCTAAACTTGGGAATCAACGGGTAAAGCCCTCGAACGCATCTACCTCGGTACAAAACCCTCTTCGTTGCCTGATCCTTAACTAAAAAGAAGAAAGGGTGAAACTTGAGGAATACATGATTGTCAAGGGCAATACGATGAACGGAAAGAAGATTAATGGAGGCACTAGGGACATGCAAGATTCTTCGGAGATGAATGTTTTTGTGTGGGGTTTTAATAACTGAATGACCAATGTGTTTAATCCTCATACCTGATCCGTTGGCGGCGTGAATTTGATCTTGGCCGCGGTACTTCTCTCTCATAGTGACCTTTTTGAGTTCACCCGTGATGTGATTGGTTGCACCGCTGTCGACATACCAGTTTGTGTCGACACCGTAGGATCCTTCAGCTGCCCCTGCTATCTTCTCGTCCTGAGAGGAGTCGCCTTCATCCTCATCGTACCTGTACCAGCAATCTTTAGCAGAGTGACCTGGT